CACATGAATCTTAGATGGAACAGCGCTGGGAAGACTGCTGATGCCCCGCACACAGCATCAATGAGCTATTTGTCTGCAAGTGAGAGCCACAGGCATTGTCAGCTGGTGGTTTCCTCCGAGTGTGTGCGTACGGGGCTTACTCGGCCTGCAGCGGTGCAGTCTAACTGGGCAAGAGCTAGCACGGCATCGACCCCGAGGCGTGCAGCACTCCGCATCACATTATTTCAGCTCAGATGGTTGAGCCCGCTCAGTAGCTTGTTGGGTGTACCTGTGGGGGTTTTAAGGGGACAGGATGTGTCACAGCTCTATATGTGACGAGTCACTGCAGCTGATGTTAAAAGACAGAGCAGTCATCTGGTCTATTAAATAGTAAATTGTAAAAATAAAATACCCATCATGATTTCCAAAAGCCCAATATGTCATCGTGAGGTTGCATGTTTTGCCAGGTAAAATTCAAATCTCCAAAATGTCCAGTAAACAATCATATCAAACAGCAAATCCTCACAAATAATCCAGATGATTTTTCTGAGTGTGTGATTTTATCTCCTGGTCCAATCAATTGCGATGCCCACATCGTGCCTATGGTCAGTGCAACAAGGTTAACACGCGAGGGAGGAAAACCTCCACTGCTCCTGCACCGGTTACACCTCCTCATCCCTCTGTCCCTTACCGATCACCTCCGTCAAACGGTTCTTTCAAGCAGTCTTCGCCTCAAAACAACTCCAGACGTGTTCTGCTTAATTCAGCGCTGCCCTCAACGCTCTGCGTGGGCGGTTTCAAGTGTGCAGTACGTGGCACCATCATCACGGCTCCGTTTCACGGACACATTTGATGCAGGCTTTTAACAACAACAAAAAACTCTATCAGCTCTCTTGAGGCTTCAAAGCCTCTCCATCTCTTTATTGAGTCTCATCAGCATTACTGCCATTGGTATCTTGTTTACATGGGCTTTTACCACCTTTGTACAGTCAATACGCTCTGTGTCCCATTCACTCCAAACATGTGCAACCTCTTTGTGCTCCACAAGGCTATTTTACCACATGTGAAAAAGGATAAAAGAAGCCTCAGATGAGATATTTAACTAACGTCCATGAAACACATCGGATTAATAAATATGATGCAGGGCCGCGGCAGCCGCGTTAAAACAGCCGTCCCTCGACACTGTATACTGCGGAGTGTGCTCTTGTAAATATTTGATGGCCTTTTGACCTCATTAGCCGTGATTGAGTGAGCTCCCCGGTGCACGCTCGTATGTCTTAGTCACCGACTGGAGATGCAGCCGGAATGGAGCCATTAGTGTGTACGTGTGTGTGTGTGGCCTGGTCAGCACCGGATCAGAGACGGAGGGAGCGAGAGCGATGAGGGCGGTTTACCCGGTGACCTCCGGGCCAGGCTTGTTAAGAGGGTTCTCCGTCTCAACACTACAGACTCCGACACAGTCTGCCCTTCACCAGAGGAGAGCGCCGCAAATAGGGAGACGGATAGAACGGGGAAAAAAGGCAGAATCCTGCCGCTATTTATAGTTCTCTGCGACGTTTTCCACCTCATCCCCGAGCAATCATTGACCCCTCCCCCGGCCCCCTTCTGCTCACTTGCCTGCCAAATGTCACTCCTATTTAGGTCAGCGGGGGCCAATGTGCGGCCGCTGACTGATGGCGTATTACAGTCACATGTGAGACCTAGAAAAAGGAATTAGATCCCTGGGACTGATATGACAGAGAGGACAGAGGTGAGGGTGCGTCTGGAAGTGGCAAATCCTTGTAACGTGACCCAGAGGTGCGTGATTTGGTTTGTTCTCATTTGCCTCGCACAGAGGAGACTAGTGTTAGGGTTGACATTACACACACACACACACACACACACACACACACACACACACACACACAGCTATGATCTTCTGTTTGTTCTCCACGCTGCCCTCTAATCTCAAAAGTCCATGGCTTTCCCAAGCACCGATGGACAGAGTGGTAAACAGAATTAGCGCGCGGCGACGAGCAATTACTTGCCCGACCCAATTGGAAAAATTATTGTCAGAGAAGACATGACGGCCTGTCGCCGGCCAGAGGGGTTGCACAGACAGATGAAAGGGGATTGGAGTGGGTTGAGGGTTTGCTCGGAGCTTTAGCCCGTTCAGAAGGATTCCTCAAATGCACCGCTTCTTTTCTCGAGAGAGAGAGAGAGCGAACGGAGGCAGACGACTCTTGACGAGGCCAAAACATTCAAGTGCTCGTCCATAATTAGGTTACATAATGGGAGCAAAGCTACTTTTAGTTTGTTTGCAAGAATACCTTTTTTTTGTTTTTCTTCTGTCAGGCGCACAGAGACAAAAGGGGAGTTGTGCTCTTTCCTGGCAAAGCCATCGCCGTGTCAAAAGGAGTTGTTTCCAGCTTTAGTTCTGGATTACAGCCTCCTCCCCAGAGAGCCCCGACAATGTTAATGTCGAAAGCTTGTTCTTCAGGGCACGGCTAGCAGAATAACATGGCAGCACAAATCTTCGCAGATGTTTGTTAAACTAGAGAGAGGCCAAAGTGGATTGCATCAGTCCATGATGAGGTTACAATGTACATCTACAGAGGACATGGTAATAGGCTGCAGTCAGTGTAGCCTGCGCAGAGGAAATGGGTTTTACTGACATGCCCTCTGTATCCGTCAGGTTCAACTAACCTCTCTCTCACTATGTCTTTTTCTTCCTCATCCACAGCCGTTACACCACCAATACGGTCTCTCTCGGACTCTGGAGGAGTTTGCTCAGACTGAACGTGGAACAGGTGCGACTGCACGTGGAAAAGATGCAAACAGAAGTAAACTCGCTCCATGCCGTGGGAGCTGAGGTGACGTCGCATCCATGCAATGTGAAAATGTTTCAGATTAATACAACATTTCCGGAGACTGAAAAAGGAGAGAAACTGGAGGAAGATATCAGAAATAGTTCTTCAATCATGATACAGTTCGCTAGCATTTCTTTGCATTCAATCTAAATGCATCTTAAGGGCTCTTACTTGTGAGTAACGAGAACTAGAGATGTCTGAAGAAAGGATCGGCCCTCAAGTCAATGCCGGACCATTCAAATATTCTTCACTGTGTTCTGCTCCCCCCAGCCTGTTTTGACTTCACGACAGACAGTCTCGCCAGTCTCCTTGAGCTTGCATATGCGAGTGAACGAGCGAACAAATCTGTTGTAGGATCTTTCTCTCCACTCTCTTTCTTATTAGCGAAGAACAGGGTACAAAACTTCCATGCAGCAGCTTCTCATTTGGAAGACGCTTTACCAGTCTAAATGGCAAACGTTGCCCTTGGAAGGTCAGGCCTGCCGTCATTCATTTGCATTTAGAAACGTGACGATGGACCGAAGTTTAACTTAGCTTTTGTCAGGTTTGTGCGCTCTCTGCAAGCCGGGGGTCTGTAGTCACAGCCAAAGATCATTTGCGAGGGGAAGAACCTCCACTCTGTAACGACATTGTACAACCGCAACTGTGAGTGTTTCTGTAGTTCCAACTGAGTGATATGTTTGAGTCAGCACCATCAGTAGTTGGATCGTGTTGCTTGTGATAAATCAGGTGACGCATACAAAGACACTTTGATTGACACGTCCCTAATAAGCATTTGGCAAATGAAATAAGTGAACCTGTAGATCTATGACTGCAACTAATGTCAGTACAATAAGCTTCATATCATGACACAGCAGCAGGATGTACTCAAAGGTGTGGAGGCCTGTGTGATTCCAGCCACTTGTCTGTGCCCTCGCCCCACGCTGCGCACCCTGTGGACTGGTCAAATACGTGCTCTTACACCAGTTCGACAACTCTCCAACCTTTCAGTCAGTGGCCAGACACAGCCTCTGGTTTGGCCTGTGTGAACCTTAACAAGCCCCATGCACTCACATTAGCATCAGCAGCCACTAAGCTGCTTCCTCTGCTCCGACTCAGACCTGCTACCTGCTGGCTCTGGATCTGAGAGCAGCACAGATACAGCTAGACTACCAGCTGGGCTGTGGCGTGACTTTTGCGCTCCTGCAAAAGGAGTCTGTAGGAGGCCTCGGAAGCCCACCAAGGGGCTATGGGCCTCCTTGCAGCTAGGGTTTGGTTCCCTGCTGAGGGCTGTTACAGCCCAATGTTGTGTGTACAGCTGGATGCCCATCACCTCAAGGGAGAGGAGGAGTATGGGAAGGAACATCGAACTCGCCAGAGTCTGTAATGAACTGGAAGGGGCAAACCAGGCCACTGCTTCAGTTACTAAGAGCAGTAGAGAGGAAGACAGAAAAGTAGGCAAGACACGGAGGTCACAGGTGAAGGATGCATGGAGGGGGTCGAGGAAGTGCAAAGACTTGTGAATAGAGGAAATAAAAAAATACTGTTGAAGGGGAAGAGACAGGGAACAAAGATAAGCAGAGCGCGAGTCAGGAAGAGTAGGTGGCCAAGACAGAAGCCGAGAATAAAGAAGAGGAGACACGGGGGAAAAAGCAAAGACGAGGATGAAGATGGCGAAGAAACAATGAGAACGATGACAGGAATTATTGGGAGATATGAACAACCGTATCAGGTGAAGTGAAAAATGAAGCACTGTATGGACACGGGAAATAAAGAAACTACAAGCGAGGCTGTCAAACTCCACTACGGCGTTAAAAAGCAGAGAAGCCGCGTGCTGTATAAGCACACCACCTCAGTCCGCTGTGTCAAATACGAATACATGGATTAGAAGACAAAAGAATCAACCAGTATTACTTCCTATAAAGAGAAACAGACCCGTTGCTAGGGGCATGTGAGGTGAGTCTAGAAATGAGGCTAATTCAAGATGAACAGCGTCTGGTGGGGACGGAGCACCTGGTTGTTCACACTCATTTCCAAGTATTTGCCAGAGCTGGGCAAGGCCCTTGGGGAACATTCTGTCGGCGGCAGCTCATGCGGCAGTGCACACACCACAGGGAGGGAGGGAGAGGGAGGGGGGGGGTAAAGGGAAAAATGCAACCACAAACCCAGAGGATGTACCTCGCTTTAAGACGTGGCCATAAAAAAAAAAGGAACAGGGTGTCACATAAATCGGCTACATTGAAAAGTCGGCGACACGAAGAAGCTCCTCTGATCGCACTCGGGGGTTTCCTATCAGGTGAGGAATAAGACGTCAGCCGAATCTTTCATCCAAACGTTTCAGAGCAGTCGGCACATCACTCTGCCTGCCGCAGAAGACAGGCGTGATGGATTAGGCTGAACTCTACGGGACTCAAAAGATGGGAAACAACGAGATTACGCTGTGATTTATTAAGAACCAAAGAGGTCGACGTTATTCCATCTTAATGGAGGATATCTTTATGCCTATTTCACAAGCTCAACTAAAATCACAACAACTTATCCAAAGTTTAAACGTACCTTAAGTTTGAAAAGACCGACTTCTGGATTTTTCCGAAAAACATTATCATCTAAAATGACATCAGCACACTGACACAGTGTCCACTTGTGGCTCTGTCAGTATGTTGATGTAAGTCAGACTCAATGTGCGTACAGTCAGTTCTTTTAAATATATTTTACATTATATGAATAAAACTAGAGATTTGCTGTACTAACCTGCAGACTGAGTGTGCTGGTGATGTTCACCATGGGCAACGATATGGACAAACTGGTGACACTGGTCTTCTCCAGCCACTTGGAGAGCAGCTCAAGGGTCAGAAGCTGCTCCAACCTGGCCAGATTCTCCACGTGGAAGGGCATCAGGAACACCACGCTGGCCTTGCCCTCACACAGAGGCGCCTCCAGAACCTGCACCATGTTTTCCACGTCTTCGTGGTGACGGAACAGACCTGGAGGAAGATGACCGAACGAGGCATGAACAGAGGTGAAGGAAAGATCAGGGAGTCGGGGAGAGAATTTTGGGCTTTCCAGCAGTAGTTCAGAGCAGTAGTTCTCTTGGAGGCCGGTTCAGACTTGCATTTTCAGCCGTGTCACTGCCGGAGTTCTCACTTGCCTAAATTAACTGAACTACAGGAGCAAAGCCAACAGAGTTGGGTTGAATCCATTCAAACACAACGTGAATGCAACATTAGACAGCATGACAAACAATCACTGCAATAATCTTTTATGAATTGAAAAAGGACATTATGAACGTTAGATAGAATACAAAGTGTCCCTCCAACATTTCTTTTACTGCAGTCATAGCAGAAATTCCCTCTGCCTAGTTGTTGTTTTAAGACAATACATAAAATATGAAAATGGTTTTAAATAAATCATAAGGCACGCAGTGATAGAAGAGAAGCAGATTGGACCTTACAGATGTTCAGACCGTTTTAGAACTCAAATTGCTTTTTCGCTGCATTTGTTTGCTGGCAGGAGGGGAGCAGCGACAGACTGTGTTTTGGTTGTTTTTTTTACCTGCTCTGTGCATCATCGTCACTTTGGTGTATTTCTTCCCCAAGAAGGTACGGTGATCTGTGGTCCCCTCTGTGAACTCTCTCTCCCACAGCCCTGAGCAAATAGCCACACAAACAAGGGTTACAAACAACGGGTTAAACAATGCCCATGTTCACAAAACACACACACACACACACACACACACACACACAGACCTCGTACGCGGCGACACCGACACAGCTCGTGAATTCTCAATATCTACTGCCCGTTAAAAAGTATCAGCTCCTCTCAAAGCCGCTGGGCTGAGAGTGCTATACTGAGGCAGTTATGAGGTCCTTAAGGCCACATTGTCCCGTTCACTGTTCGCCACATCCCACTTGGCCCCGCTAACCCCCTGACAGCTGTCAATTTAGGAGGGCCTGAGAGTCGTGGAATTACTCTTGTAATAACCTCGCGATGCACTGTGAAAAGCCACCGGCCCATTCAGTTGTGCAGGCGGACACTGGATGGAGCGAGGAGGTCGACACATTATGACTTGTACTCATGTCCCTCTTTGTGAATGACGCCAGGGGCCAGCTAGGGCTGGAACTAACAGGGACTTTCATTTCATATCGATCCCCACACTCGTAACACTCACAATGCTAAAAGGTGCAAGAAGGGCAAAAAAAATGAAATGGCTCATTTGCCCCGGTGAAAGTCTAGAGACCAACTGCTCGACTTTATCATCAAGTACTTGCGTTGGAGTAAGTGTGCGCAGCCTTCTTGTCTCCATCCATAATTGATCAGTCGTTAAAGGTCGACTGCCTCTGTTATTTCAAAGCGTTATCAAGTGGAAACGCCCACTCAGCCTTTTAGCAAAAAAGCAGTGTCATCGGTTGGCAAAGGAAGCTAATCAATAAGGTTATGAAAAATAAGAGTTAGCTTTAGTTTGGAAATATCTGGAGGGTTAGTTTGGATTTTTTGGGAAGTGGGGCTGTATGTATACTCCCGTATTCTGCTGGGTAAGAGGACTCTTTTTGTCAATGGAGTCGGGTGGCTTTGAAGAGAGCGATATAACGGTTTTAGTTCCCCGACAGAGTGGACTGTCTGACAGCGAGGTACACGGGAGTTTACCGCTTCATCGATCGGTTAGTTTGTTTGCATTACTGTGCGAGACCCAAACTAACGTGGCGTCTACACAGCAGTGCAACGCTTGGCTTCCGTGCCATTACTCCAACCGCAAATGTGAATGCTGTGATTTGAATGCATAAGGAACACCACTGGAAAGCTACTTGTTTCAGCGCGAGGATTTCCCAAAAGCCAGCCAGCCTCCAGCGGCCCCCGGCCAATAACAGCTGACAGCAGAGCGACGTGTGATTCTGCCTTCCGGGCATGCTAGCGCAAAGTCACCGACATTCGCTCTGCTTCCTGTAACATGGGAGGGTGAAATACAATCGCGCTGGAATTCAAAAACAACTGGCTGACGATTACCTGAAGTGGCAGCCGTGTTGTAAAAACGCATGTGTGCACACGTGTGTTCAAGTTGTATCGAGCAAGGGCTTTAACGGCCTCCCGAGCGGGCCGCAGTATCATCCTTCGTCCTTTCGTAGGACAGCAGTACAGAAGAGATCGCTTGAAACCTGAATCCATTAATATCCATCAGCAATAAACAGTGAGACAATTGCACAGCTAAGAAATCCAATCACTCACAGACTCAACCAATTCATACTGTAAACTTGAGGCGAAAACCAGAGGAGAATCAATGAGAGCGCCCGGCTCCCTCTCCCTCCCTCATCAACTTTTGATTACGCGTAGTCGTGGTGTTTCAGAAGCTATTATAAGAGGTAAAATATGTGGGGACTTGTTGTTCTCTCTCGCCTTTTCCTTTCCTCTTCTAGTTCCTCGTGTTGCTGCGTTTATCTTGTGTATAACTTTCTCTCTATTGTTTTTTTTCCTCCTCACAATCTTATTTTTTCTTCTTCCGTCTCCAGTGTTTGTTTTTCTAAAACAGGAACAAAGCCTGAATTAATTAACTAGCGTGGACTGGAACTCCCAAGGTAGGCCTTTTACATCCCTCCACTATGTCTGTCAATCTCTCTCGCTCTCTCAGCAGGCCACCCTCTCTTTCCTTTTCCTCACTTTTCACTCTTTTGCTTTTCTCCCTGCGTCTCTTTGTCCCCCTTCCCGCCCAGAAATGGCTCCTCGCACTGCTCTGTCTCTGCACTCCTCTTGCCGTTCTCTCTGCTTTTAGCATCTCTCCGCTACAAACATGTTCCGCTACTAATTGCCCCTGACCTTCCCTTTCTTTAAATGCTGTGTACAGCCCAGGGAAGGAGGCACAGCAAAGAGCTTTTTTTTAATTCTGCCCTTCAATAATTAACTAAAGGGAAACAAAGAAACACAGGGGCAAGGAAGCAGATGCCTGTTCAGCACCATCAGAATTTCCGGGACCTTCTCTGAAACCACAGCAATAAACACACACAGCGAATCGCCTGAGGACCGTGAAATCAAAGACAAATAAACAAAAAAAAACTTCCAACCGTCCAGGGGCAGCTAGTACGAGCAAGAAGCAAACTATCGACCACTAGTGAATTATGAATCAAAACTGAAGGAATCCAATTTTACGTAATGTAATTTGTGCGCTGCAATCTGCTGTGTAATCTAATTTTGTGTATTTCATCCAGAAAATTAATGAACCGACCAACGAGGGTCGGTTCACAGCAAAAAAAAAAAAAAAAAAAAAACGAATTTCGTAATGAAGTCAAAACATCAAACAAAGAAAATTAATTAAATTGCTTATCAATGTATATAAGTCAGTCAGGGAATGTTACTTTCAAAAGGCCGTCTATCTGTTGGCAACCTGTTTTCACTTCAGCCGCCGCGCCTTTCTCTGCATCTAATAAAAAGAATACCTGCAGGAGGAAACAGAGGGACTCGAGGCAGATGGAGGCAGATAAGGACATGAACGGGAGAGATGTGGGAAGAAGAGGAGATGGGGGGGG